CTTTGACACAAACAGAGACACAAGTAAAATTGGGCTGTATGAATGGTTGATGGCTGAAAGCTTACTCTAGACTTAACCATTGAACATCTAACTCTAAACATTGCTTAAAGCTATCTAATGACGATGCCCCTACTGTACTTGGTGACAGCGAGTTCCATTCTGTGATAGTTCTAGGAAAGACAACAGAGACACGAGTATAACAAGGCTGTATAAAGGTTTAACTCTGACACAAAGACAACAGAGAAACAAGTATAACGTAGGCTGTATGAAACTTTGATGGATGGCAGCTTACAGGAAAGAGAAGGGCCATGAATATGTCATGATGCCGTCAGCTACACTTACTCCAGCCGGCACCGCAATATCACCTGCCATCTGCTTACATTACTTATCTGCTATTAACTACAACAGTGGAAATACACATGTTCTGATACCTTCTTTCCAGGCACAAATACAGCACAACAAAGTGGTAATGCTGATGTACATGTAGTACATGATGCCAGCTCAGAAAAGAACAAGAAATAGTCATGCACAAGTAACACAATTATGAACCAAGGATTATATCAGCCACCGTCTGCTAACATCATTTAATATCTGCTATTAATTATATAACCACAGCAGCGGAAATACACCTGTTCTGACACATACTAGCACAAATACAGTACAACAAGGTGATGCTGATATGTATGTAGTACTATGTACCTGATACCAGATCAAAAAAGAACAAGAAATAGTCATGCACATTGTAGTACCAAAGTTATCAACCAAGGCTTGTATCAGCCGCCTTACATTATTTATCTGTTATTAACTACAGCAGTGGAAATACACCTGTTCTGGCACCTCGTCTGGGATGTCTGTTCATATTAGAAGTATGTATATAATTATGTGCTATTCTAATTTTGTAAACATCATGTGTCATTCAGGAAACATGAATAAAGGACTTGGGAAAAAGTGTCTCTTTACTCGTAGTATTGTACAAATGTATATGTATATTGTATGTCTGCAATGTTGACATGATAGTAAAGAATTGAACTGGATCTTGTTCAGGCACATACAGAGTAGCACTAGTACAACAGACCTATTAAGTGCCAAATGTTGATATAGTACAATAATGGCATTTTTATAGCACAGGCCATTGAGAACACCTCTCCGTGACATTAATGTACCCTGTATAATGTGCTGGTTGTTAGTGACCTGTTACTGCTACTGTTACAAACCCACATGTGCTCAATCGCAACCCGATGGCAGGAAATAATTCACACTACAGATCACTAAAAACACATTAAATTTGGTGATACCTTGATGATTGTAGATGTGCTCAATTTCAAATGTAAGGCAGCCCATAGCAAAAAAGAAACAAAAATGACGCACAGTCATATGCGTACTGTAAGACTAGTACAATCATTTTTTTGACAAGAGTTCACAATTATAGAGAAAAAAAAGCAAGGACATTAAGAACTCCTTCAAGCCATTTTTGTTAGTAGTTAGAGGTAAAAGCAAGATATAGGATTCATCCCATTCCCAGGTCAGTTTCAGTTTCAGTTTTCAGGATTTTATACAGTGCAAGTCGAGAGAGAGAATGACAAAAGAGCCTCCATGCTGTGAAGCCTTTCACATGTTGGTCGGGTCAAACCTTTTCTGTTGTTGTTGTTCCAAAACTAAGGCAGACTCAAACTGCTACAAGCCAGTAACTGCTTATTATGTCCTCACAAATGCTTGAAATCTGTCTAAAAACACAATAAAACCTAATGTGAAAATAACATAAGCAGCATAACTCTAGTGATCTGTTACAATCCCAAATTGTGGCAAATTGTAGCAGACACACAAATTGCCTTAGTACAGTAACTGGCAATAATTATCCCTTACAAATGGCAGGTATCAGTCTGAGCAAACATAAAAACATACTAAAAACTGTTCATTTTGATTTGAAAAGCAGCCTAACTAAGCAGCAATCTGGTACCCAAACTGTGGCAAAGTGTAGCAGATTCAACCTGAACATGTACAGCACACAAATTAAACCGCTACAGCACACAAACCGTTACAGCACGGTAACAGGTAATTATCTCCTCACAAATGTCTAAAATCTGTCTGAACACACATAAAAACACTGAGACAATAAAAGCTCTTCATTTTGCTGTGAAAATAATAAAAGCAGCCTAAGTAGCAATCTGGTACCCAAGCTGTGGCAAAGTGTAGCAGACACGCTAAACTGTTACAGCACACAAACTGTTACAGCACACAAACCGCTACAGCACAGTAACAGGTAATTATCTCCTCACAAATGTCTGAAATCTGTCTGAACCGACATAAAAACACAATAAAAGCCGCTGCCTTTGATGTGTAAACATCGTCAGACTAACGCGGCGCGGCGTGCGCTCCATGTGCGCCCGGGGACGCCGCTAACGATTTCCTGTCACCCCGCGTCGGGCGGGAGACTAATCTCGCGTTCCCGCGGGGCGGTGGGTTATTGGCTGGGAGGTGCCGCTATCACCGCTCCGCGCTCGCGACGCGCAGGGAGTGATCGATAGGCCGGCCCGGCAGCCGCGAAGTCAAACTGATCCACTCTAACCGGGGTGAGGGGGTAAATATTAGGGCCAGGGGACAGATGTGCTGCTGGCAGGTACAGGGATATGTACATGTACAGGTACAGGGATATAGGGCTGGTATGTACTGTACAGGGCTGTATGTGTGAGTACATACATGGGACAATTGGTGTGATAGGGTAAATATCAGGGCCAGGGGACGGGCTATGTATGGTGCCTGCTGGCATACATGTATATATACATGTACAGGGCTGTTAGTACATACATGTACACATGGGGTGAGAGGGTAAATATCAGGGCCAGGGGACAGATGTGCTGCTGGCAGGTACAGGGATATACGGCTGGTATGTACATGTACAGGGCTGTATGTGTGAGTACATACATGGGTGATAGGGTAAATATCAGGGCCAGGGGACAGGGGTATGTATGGTGCCTGCTGGCAGGTACAGGGCTGTATGTGTAGTACATACACAGGTACACGGCTGATACAAGGTTGGTAGTACAGGGCTTCACATAGGACTGTATTGTTTTTGTAAGTACATTTGTACACAGGGTTGGCACATTTGTTTGTTTCGCATAACCGGTAAACCGCCTTCAGGCGTAACACACCAGTTTTGTACATGTGCGCACATGTACAAGCTGCGTAAGACCGGACTGTAAGTTTTGAACCACTCACACCGGGAAGATCCCCTACTCTTTTCGATAAGTGCGGTGGGTTCTTTAACGTGCATGGGGTGTGGCTCTCCCAAACACGGGACCTCCATTTAACGTCCTATCCGAGGGACGTCCCTAACCGAAGCTAGGTACTCATTTTCACCTGAGTGAAGTGAGGAAAGTCGTGTAAAGTGCCTTTCCCAAGGGCACAAGATCGGTGACATGGGCAGGGTTCGAACCCACAACCTCTGGGGTGTGAGCCGAACGCACTACCGACTGCGCAACACGACCCCACATACATATATACATGGCAGTATATGCAGTAAATACATGTACATGTACAACTACACATGTATACACATTGCTGGCTCATAAACAGGGCTGGGACATATATTGTATACACATGTACTGCACATACATGTGTACATGTATATGCAGCACTGGCACATATTTGTACACGTGGCCAATGTAATAGTATACACATAGTAAGTATATGTACATGTTGCTGGCTCATATACAGTGCTGGTACATATATGGGGCTGTACATAGTAAGTACATGTACAGTGTCCAGCCTGTTGGTTCCTAAGAAGCTGGAACTGAGGACAAAATGAGGCAGAAAATGGGCTGTTAGGGAGGTCATGACCCCTGGGCAGGGCTGACCCACATGTCCACTTAGCAAAGCCAGGACTGACCAGTTCACCGGTACTACATATAGCCTCCAAACCCCCATACAGAACCCCACATGGTGCAGTTAATCATCGGCACATTCCCAGAAAAACTCCCCATACACACCCCTACACTACAGTTAATAGTTGTCACATACCCCCCAAACACCACCATACATATCCCACATTATATTTCATTGTTGTCACAT